CCCCCCCCGCGCCCGTTCGAAGCAGCATCACGGTGCCTTTTCCCGCTCCTAGCACCTTTCCAGGTAGTAGATGTTTCGACTTACAGTCGTCTCGATCAAGAGAAGTGGGTCGCAATGGAGATTGACAGGCTCGGGATTTGCTGGGAGGTTTCTGGTTCATATTCAAAACTCACAATAGAGAACCAAAATCTTACAACACGGCTAGGACGGCTATTGCGGCTCTCAGTCCTGACTGCACCGTCTTTTTGAATTGAGAATTGAGAATTCCAACTTACTTACTTGGGTAATTTTCGCAAGGTCAGCATGCTTAACGCATCCTCGGCGCCATTGTCATGTATCAAACACACAAACTGTCACATCTCGTCTGCCCGCAACCTCGGACTCTCGGACTTTCGGAGCACCTATACCGTGATCTGGATTGGATGGTTGATTATTGGTGGTAGCAGAGCCAATGGGACTACTGCAGCATGGCAGGCCTCGGAGCTTAGCTTACCTGCAATCTACTACTATCCGGAGTAGTCTGGGGTAGGGCCGGAGAATACTCCTCCAACCTGATGTAGGGGGAACCGTTTACTTAGCTTCATTCTAGACTACCCATGTGGAGACTTAAGGGAATCGCGTCATTCCTGTTGCTGGTCCTCGTCTTTTGTGTCTTTTTCTCTTGATTGATGAAACGAAGTATATAAGAGTTGGTAAATTAAATACTGAAATCACGGCATGCGTTGAAGAATGTGCAACATGATGGAGAGTCCTCAGTGTTTCGCGTCTTGAAAGCTCCAGGATAACACAACATTGAACCCTGCAACAGCCATTCTTTGTGTCTCAAAGCGGTGCTGTCCCCAGCACTAAATACATCCCGTCCCCAGCAGCCGATACCGCCTCCCGAGGTTGTTGTCAATCTGGACCGGCGCATCTCCACTCCCGATCTACCAAGGTCCTTAATTCAATGCCTAGGCTGTCATGGACAACGCAGTATATCTCTTTCCTTAGCCCTCGCTGAAGCGCTCCCCAGCTTCTCTTGCTCATTCCTCCTCTCATTACTGCTTGCTTCTCTTCCATTGTTCACTCTTTCTTGTTTCGTGTCTCGGGGACTAATTCGCCATGGTCTTCACACCTCCATCGTATCTTCCCCAGCTGCCAGGTATGCATGCGCGCTGCGCAGATGCGCCCTTCAAATTCTCAGGCTGACAGCCAAACTCGCAATACAGATGTTCCGGATTCCATCACAATCGAAGAATTCCTGCGAAATGAGCAATATGGCCGGTACCCAATGGCCAAGGCCAGAAACCCGTACACATGCGGCATCACGGGCACGACGTATAATGCCGCTGAGGTAGCTGAACGGATAGACTACATGGCTCGCGCAATCAGCAAGCGATTGGGCCTCAACCCTAATGAGGAGACTGAGTGGGAAAGAGTTGTCGCGTTGTACTCGGTCAACACGGTACGCTAGAATCCAACAACTTCGGCCCTTTTGACACGACTCAATCACCCCCACCGTCTTGTCCGAAACCACTCCGATTGCTCAATGGCACGTTCTAACGAGGCCGTTGCTTCTCTCTGTCACAGATTGACTATCTCCCATTTACTCACGCCATCCACCGTCTCTCCGGCATTGTCACTCCAGCAAGCGCCGCATACTCGACACAGGAGCTCGAGCACCAGCTCCGCACGTCAGGAGCCAAGGCCGTGTTTACCTGCCCTCCTCTCCTCGAAAATGCTCTCAAGGCAGCCACCGCTGCAGGAATTCCCAAGGATCGCATATTCATATTGCGCACTGCGGGCTTCGACAATCCTCCTTCATATGTTACCATTGACGACCTGGTGGCTGAGGGCAAGAGTCTGCCGCCATTGAAGCCGTTGAATTGGGTCAAGGGTCAGGGTGCTAGGCAGACTGCTTATCTGTGCTACTCTAGCGGAACTTCTGGGCTGCCGGTAAGTGCGAAATGGCTAGTGGTTGATATGCTTGATTCCTCCTGGTGCTATATTTTGCTCCTAGACGCTTGTAAGCGACGCTGACACGACTCGTTGATATCCTAAAGAAAGCCGTCATGGTCTCCCATCGCAACGTCATCGCCAACGTGCTCCAAGTTTACTTACTGGACAGCGTCCCCCGCAAAGAGCTCGGCATCGAATCGCAAGTTTTGCTCGGCGTTCTTCCCTTCTCGCACATTTATGCCCTCGTTCTAGTTTCCACCGTCAGCCAGTACCGCGGCGATGAAACTATTGTGCTGCCAAAGTACAACTTCCATGAACTCCTCGATGCTATCCAGCGCTTCAAGATTGAGCAGCTGTTTGTTGTCCCGCCCATGCTCATCCAAATCATTGGCAACCCCCAAAATACTGCCAAATACAACCTCGAGAGCGTACGTTTCGTCTACTGCGGCGCAGCTCCGCTAGGCCCGGAAGTCGTCGAAGCGGTAACCAAGATGTTTCCCAAATGGCGCATCGGACAAGGCTACGGCATGACTGAATGCTCACCCACCGTCTCTTCGACCAACGAGCTGGACGTGCTCTTTGGCTCTTCAGGCTCTCTTTTACCGGGAAAGAAGGCGAAGGTCATCGATCTCGAGGGCAAGGAAGTGACCGAATACGACACTCCGGGCGAGTTGTTGATCCAATCTCCAGCCGTCGTGCTGGGGTACTTGAACAACGAAAAGGCCAATGCCGAGACGTTTGTCCATCACGAGGATGGCCGATGGCTGCGAACAGGTGACGAGGTTGTTGTCCGAAAGTCGACCCAGGGTCACGAGCACCTTGTTATTGTTGACCGAATCAAGGAATTGATCAAGACCAAGGTAAGCTACCAGCCTGAGATATGCAAATCAAACAAACACACAATCACTCGCTCAGCACTCCTCACCTTGTATCCCTTCTTTCTTCACTCTTGAACTCTGCTCACAGAAAAAATCCAAAATCAGGGCCACCAAGTCGCTCCCGCCGAACTAGAAGCCCATCTCCTCAGCCATCCCTACGTCTCCGACTGTGCCGTCATCCCAGTCCCCGACTCTTACGCCGGCGAGGTGCCCAAAGCCTTCGTCACCAAATCTGCCTCCGACTGCGCTGGTAAATCCGACAATGACATCGAAGACGCCATTCAGAAGCACGTTAAAGACCACAAGGCCAAACACAAATGGCTCAACGGCGGAATCGAGTTCATTGATGCGATTCCCAAGAGCCCTAGCGGCAAGATCTTGAGGCGCCTATTGAGGGACAAGGAGAAGAAGGCCAGGCAGGCTAAGGGAGCAAAACTATGAGATGAGAAACGGCGAGCCACGCTATGTGATGACGAATTTAGAGGGTTTTCAAATCTGTTTTGGAAAGACACGTTTTGTGTAGATATTTTTCGTTCCTTTGGGCATTGAGCGTGTGTTCTACGCAGGGAGTCCGACGGTATTGTAGGCCAAAGATTTTGGGGTGATATTTTTCCGAAGCAATTGCGCACTTAGAGGCTACGGGTGCTGCATTTTGTCTTATGAGACGAGGCATGATAGAGAGATGACAAAAGACTCTAAGAGTAGCAGCAAGAGAATTATGATCATGATTCTATTTTTCACTCAAGATGTATTGACTGCTCCATCTGAATGTTTCTTGGTCTCATCTTCCAATGGCCTCTTCGTCAATATGCTTACAATAGTATCGTGATTTCTCGAAGAAGTACACTCCCTTCCGTAGAGAAAACGTACACTACGTAGCAGATACCCAAGAAATCAGGTATTTACTCCCTATAGTAGGCAGTTAAACAGATAAACAGCTTTCCTTCACATCCTGTTTTGACACTTGAACTCTGCGCTGTCGCTGGCGTACTGAATACCTGCATGTATATTCCAAGACCCCTGATCTCCTTCGCAACCCATTCTTCGCTCTCACGCGTTTGTGCCGAGCAAGTCAGGCGGACGATCTGGACTACGACAATACCATTCTCACAACCGACTCTTATTCACTTGTGTGCGGTTGTTTGTACATTTCACCGCCATTGCATTCTGCCGCACGTGAGTGACTGAAAGTCGAAGGTCCCAGAGTCCATCCTTCCAACTCAGAACTCCCCTCTTCTCCCAAACTCCCAACACCCTCGCCAGGGCATGACAAGATTCCAAGCATCGCTCAAAGACCACGAGTATCCATCTTAAGGATCTTCCAGCTACATTGAGTACGCAATGTCAAACCGCCGAGACCCGCGCGGCCGTTTTGGTGCACCGACAAACGTTCTGAACAATACTGCACTTGGTGATAACAAACAAGAAACTTTCAACATGTCTCGTATGCCCGCAAGCCGCTCGCCATCTCAAAATGTGCCTTACTTATTGCAAGGAGCGGAGGGAAATTTGACTTGGAATGATGGTGAGACCATAGAAAATGCCGCCGGAGCTGCCGCCATTGGCTTCGCCGCCATCAACGCACTGGACTGCATCGCGAAGAACGAGGGCAAGGTTACCAATAGAGACCTTAATCTCATCAAGGAACTCGTCAATTTCATTCAACCAGACACCATGAATTCCTTCCGCAAGGGGTTCAGAGAGTTGCTGCAACAAGCCACTCCACCTGGAGGACTCTCCAACTCTTTCCTTCCCAAAGACGAGGGAACTCGATCCCAACCCGTCAAACACGGCTTATTCCCCAAGGTAGAGGCCGAAAGCCCAAGAAAGCGATCGCGCCTCTGGGAAGGGCTGAAAGTGGAGGAGGACACTGAATCGAAAAGCATGAGAGACCTAAAGGAGCCACTCGTACGCCAACCGACGCCATTCAACATGAAGCTGCATGATCTGTCGACACCGAGAAGACTCAGGCCCCGCCATTCTACTACGTCGATATATCCAAGTGGCGGCTATTACAAATGAGGGGGGAGGGGGATGAGAGAACATTGATTCACAAGAGAACAGCAAGAGAGTTATGTGAATAATGATTCTATTTTCACTGAAGATGCATTGAGCACCATTACTACTACAAATACAGAAAAAAAAAAGGCAGCCATCACAAAAAACTTTCACTCGCATACAAACAAAAAAAAAAAAACATAAAAAAAGAGTCAACCTTTTTTTCCAAAACGTCCATAGCCTTGGCAACAGCCAAACGGCAGATGAATCTCATATCGATATTAATATTAAGTTACCACATCGGTCAGCCCAGCGGGGTGTATATAATGGCTCTTTGTGCATTGCATTGCGTTGCGCGTGAAACCATTTGATTCAAAAATCATCCCCCCCCCCCTCTTTGTTCTTGACAAAGAAACCAGAGAGAGAGGTACCCCCCAGCTGTGCTGTCCATGTGCTCGTAAGGATCGTAAGAATGATATTGCCCTACTGTATGAGGGTCATTTTTTCCGCTAGTCAGGTCCTGTCCGTGTACACATACATTCCCCCTTCTAACCACTTCAAATAATAAATACTGCGCGCGCCCTCCCAGAGGCACTGAATGAAAAGCAAATAGCCCAAAAACAAATCAAAGGAAACGGTTTGTTACACGCATGTGTATCTTCCAATCAAGGAGCTGCTTTACAGAGCAAAGACAGCGGCCATGACGGCGAGACCCAGGCTCATACCGGCGCCAACGCGGCCAGCAGCGCCAATAACGGGCAGGCCAGTGTTGCCGGGGAAAGCTCCAGTGCCAGTGGCGGTGCCGATGGGGGCAGGAGGAGGAGCGACCTGAGTAGGGGCAGAAGCAGGGGCGGTCTCGACGGGAGCAGTCTCAGCCGGAGGAGGAGCAACGTAGGTGGGCTGACCGGCGGGAGGAGCAGCAGTGATGCTGACCTGGGGAACGGTGAGAGCGGTAGAGACGTAGTAGGTGGTGCTGCTGCCGGGGATGGTGGTTCCCTCAGAGACGCAAGGCTCAGTGACGGTGGTCTCGACGACGACAGTGGTGTACTGAGTAGGAGTAGCATAAGGAGTGCCGGTCACGGTGATGATGGAGGTGATGGGGGCAGCACCAGTAGCAACGGCAGGGTTGGAACCAGCATAGCCAGCGCAGACACCCTGGAAGAAGGTGATGGCAGCAGCAACATCGTCATCGTTGTTTCCGTTGGAGTAGATGCACTCAAAGACGTTCTGGACGAGATCCTTGCTGGGGCAGTAGCAGGCGGCGTCGGTGTTGTCCTTGCAGTTGGGGAGAAGAGTCAACCAGGTGTTGATGCACTTGGGCAGGACATCGGGGCAAGGAAGAGACTGGTCGGGGGAAGATCCGGTGCCAGTAGGAGCAGCGGCCTCGGAAGTGGGCAGAGGAGCACCGGGGGTGATGGTGGCAGTGACGGGGCAGATGGTGGTGCTGACGGCAACGGTCACGGTGGTGACAACGGGCTTGTCGGTCCTGGCAGGGCAGTTGGTCACCTCAGGGGCACAGCTGGTGATGGTGTGGACAGAGGTGGTGAAGACGGTCGAGGTGGTCTGGTAGACGGTGGTGTAAGGAGCACCAGGGCCAGTGGTGACGGCATCAGAGCCACCGGTGGTAGCGGGAGCAGTAGTCTGGGCACCAGCGGGAGCAGTGGTGGTCTCACCAGGGACGGGGTAGGTCTGGCCAGCAGGAGCAGTGGTAGTCTCAGCGCCAGCAGGAGCAGTGGTAGTGTCGACACCGGCGGGAGCAGTGGTAGTCTCAGCACCGGCAGGGCCAGTGGTGGTCTCAGCACCAGGAGCGGTGGTAGTCTCAGCACCAGCGGGAGCAGTGGTGGTCTCGCCAGCAGGAGCGGTAGTGGTCTCGGCACCAGCAGGGCCAGTGGTGGTCTCAGCACCAGGAGCGGTGGTAGTCTCAGCACCAGCGGGAGCAGTGGTGGTCTCGCCAGCAGGAGCAGTAGTGGTCTCGGCACCAGCAGGGCCAGTGGTGGTCTCGCCGCCAGGAGCAGTGATGACAGAGGTGCTCACGACAACATCGGTGGTAGCAGTATCGGTAGGGACGCCATAGGGAGCAGTGGTAGTCTCAGCACCGGCGGGAGCAGTGGTGGTCTCGGTCTCGCCAGCAGGAGCGGTAGTGGTCTCAGCACCGGCAGGGCCAGTAGTCGTCTCACCAGCGGGAGCAGTGTAGGTCTCGCCAGGAGCAGTGGTAGTCTCAGCACCGGCAGGGCCAGTGGTGGTCTCACCAGCGGGAGCAGTGTAAGTCTCACCGGGAGCAGTTGTAGTCTCGGCACCAGCAGGGGCGGTGGTGGTCTCGCCAGCAGGAGGAGTGTAGACAGGCTTGGTGTGAGGCTTGGTGTGGTGACCGCCGCCAGGGGGAGTGTAGACGGGCTGAGAGTAAGAAGGCTTGGTGTGGTGAGATCCGCCGGGAGGAGTGTAGGCAGGCTGAGAGTGAGAGGGCTTGGGGGGAGCGTTGTTGCCACAGTTCCAAGAGATGTGGTGAACCTTGGTGCCGCAAGACGACTTGCCACCCTTGGAACCGCCAGGGTAGACGATGGAAACACTCTTAGCTCCACCGCACTGGGTGTTCTTGACGGTGGTTCCGTGGGACGAGCAAGAGGCAGAGTGCTTGCAAGTAGAGCCGTCGGGCATGTCGTAGTGGAACTCCAGACGAGTATCAAACTCGGTCGAGATGGAGAAGGTGTCAACGGAGAAGTGCTCGTTGCCGGCGCTGGCAGAGATGCAAGGAGTGGTGTTCTTGTCGCCCGTGCACTGGCCAGAGATGGAGCGGCCGGTAGCACCAAAGGTACGAGCGCTCAGGAGGGTGTCACGCTTGCTGAAGTCGTTCTCGCACGACCAGCCCTTGAAGTCGAATCCTCCATAGTGTCCAATAACGCCGGTGGGAACGTCGCTGAAGTCCCAGCCGTTGTGCTGCTGGGTGTTGCAGTTGTTGTCGGTGTTGCCGGGGCAGCTGTAGGGCTTGGCGTTGGTCCAAGAGCTACCAAGGGAGTACTGGATGAAGAAGTTAGCCATTGGAGTTCTATATAACAAGCGTATATATATCAAGTCATGATCGAGGCCGACTCACGGTGGCAGCAACCTGCTCAACGCTGGCGGCAGCCAGGAGAGCAAAGGCGGCAGTCTTCATGATGAAGCAAGTTCGAAACGATTGTGAGTGTAAAACGACAGTTGTTCGCGATCAAGCGTATACAAAATATGAATGAAGAATATAAATATCGATATGGACTTGATAGTAGTTGTTTGAGGGATTCAAAGAAAACGAATGACTTTGATCCGGTAATGAGAGACTTGTTGATTAGGGAGAGAAAAAGAAGAAAGAAAAAAAGAAAAAATAACCACACAAGGACTGTTTGAATCTCGAGATTCAAAAGAGAGGAGGAGAAGAGGGATGGACTAGAGGCGGATCTATATACTCAAAGGCCGGACGCCTTTGTTGGAGGTGAACGTGCTGTACAGTACTGTTCACCCGTTGTCTTGCCTTGGCGCTTGAGCAGGCGCAAAGGCTCAACCCCTGTTCTTTCGCAGCATCTCCCCACAGCCTGTGGGCAAGGCCAAATCAAGACAGAGACCCATGATGAAGCGCCGGGAACAAGGTTGAGGCAATCTCGAGTCAGAAGGTACTGTGTACCAGGCCGGCGCATCGGGGGCCGTGTATCAGCGCATAGCGGCTCGAGAGAGAATGTGGTGCAACATGGTGAGAATGGAGTGGCACATGGTAACGCGCGGGACTTGAGACGGACAACTCGGAGGAGCTGAACAAAAGGCAACAGTACAAAGAACACTTTAGACCAGCTTCTGGCATGACGATGCTGGAAGCCGCAAGAGGCTTGGAGTTTTGGCACTAGCCCGGCGAATTGTGTGGCGGCTTGGCTGGATGGACATGGGGCATGTGTAGACGCCATGTACACTCACGGCGAATTTTGACAGCTGAGTACTTGGCCACTACCGCGCGCGAGAGTCGCCCTAAATCCGTGCCAAGACCCCCCAGGGGCACATGGATGGTCTGCTGCCGAAACGGCTCCGTGTCCCAGGGGCCGCGCTACAGCGTTCTTGGCAGGCACACGGCGCTATCCAGTGGTCGCTGAAGCACGTTCACGGACCCCTAGAGACAGGACGCTTCAGGTACCGCTCCCTACCTGACCTACTGTAAGTTCCACTGCTAAGGTAGCAGACGGCAGTGGAGGTTACAGGTGGGTTGGCCAGTGCCCTTTTACCGCCTCAGCTTGCATTTGCACCCGATGATTTTTCGCCAGTCAGTCCACCAGTGGGCTCATGTGCACATGCAAGTACTGTTTTTGATATTGGTGATGGATTCAACGAAAGAGAACCTTGAAGCAAAAGTCCTCGCAGACTCCAGCCAGCCAGAGACCAGAGACCACAACAACTGCCTAAATGATAAAATTATAAATTATCCAATGATAGGTACTAATCAAACGGCATTTGATCTCAATGCCCATCGTCAACTCCGACGCACAACCAATCAAACTCTGCAGCTTGTAGCGTGCGGGTTTCCGGTGCCATATCGCCTCTGCCAATCTCCCTCCAAATGGCCAATATTCATGCGCGCCTCGCAAGCCTCACCTGCATCGAGGGCCATTTCTGGGGCCACCGCCCACCATTCAATTGCCTCAGCGCCTAAGCTTGCAGACAAGTTTAACCCGCGAGCCTAATGCCTAACCTGGTTAAGGCTCCTGCAGGAACCCAAGTGCATGCTCGTACTGCCCATGCTTGCACCCCCTGGATGGACGCCTGATACAAGCACAGACCTGTAAACTACAACACTTTGCGCACGGAAAACCTGGCAATGAAAATTTGATAGATGGAAATTTGATATAAACGTAAACGTTCATAGGATGAGAATATCGATAAATATTGATAAATTAATGGAAAACAATAAAACATCCCAGCAAGTCACAGCCAACTGTTTGCACTGCAAGGCCCTGCGCGTTTTTTTTTTCTTCAAGGTTCTTCTAGTTCTTGCCTCAGGCTTGCCACCAACCGATCTCAATCCCTCAGTTCCTTCCTTGCCTTCTCCGTTCTTGCTTCAGGTTCGCCGGCGCTTTCCCGCACTATCCTCGATCGATATCACGTTACCGCCTGCCCTCCCTGCTTTGGGCCTTGTCCATGTTTCTCCATGAAACTGTCACAGACCTTTTTTTGTTTGTTTTCTCTCCTTGTGTGACCAAATGTTTATTTTTATCTTTCTTTATCCCGCGCCTGATCTTGATACAGACCAATCCAAACCACCGCGATCCGCGCAGGCACGGGCTCGATCTCTACTCATGTCATCCATGCCGCTTCTGCAGACTTGTGCCTGACTACGCCCACTAGTCACGGCGGTAGCGCAGGTACGGCTTCTGGCGATGGAGTCGCCATGTCTCTTCACCACCAGCTGACTGACGCGAGTGCTACAGATGGTAGATTGCCTGTGCTGTTCGAGCGAGTATATCCACGCTGGCCGTAGAACCGCTATGCCAAACGCAGACACCGTCAACTCGCCTCGCCTCGTCGTGTCTCCATCTTGACCAAAAACCGTCGCCTACTACGGAGCAGGCCTTGTCAACCAATCCCTGTCCCGCCACGCCTTGCAGTGCCAGCCGGGTCCGGCAACTGTTTTCTTTTCCAGCTAGGCTCTGTTTGCTGGTTGATGGGGATGGGGGACTTTTCCCCCCCATGAACACTGCCTCCGCCACTGAACCCTGCTGTCGAATCAATCATGCCACAGCAAAGGCGAGTCACCCCCTGCCTGTCGGCGGACGAAAATCTCCAAGCGACGCTGAACCGACGTCTGGTGGCCCCCCGTTTCCACATAGCAAGCTTGTTTGCGAACAACTTACAATTTACAACGCCCAACACGCTGGTACTTGGCACCCCAACCCATGCCCGGCACCTCGGGTAACAGTGTGCAATTGACAAGCAGCAACCGCATGGCACACTATGACTGGGTTCGCAGCACGGGATATTCGGTCCCGAGCACTTGCAGCTCTTCTCATCCCATTGCTCCGTAAGTGTAACCACTCTATACTTGTTCTGTCATGTCAACTCCCAGAGCCACGTTTCCTCATGGGCCTGCTTGCCTGAAATGCTTGCTACATTCGTACGTACAATCTCTGGACTCCCTACTAACAGGAGTGATAGATGATAAGACAGCGTCCACGTTTTGATATATCAAAACCACCCACGCAGCAGTCACCTAGCCCTCCAAAAGAGGAAAATGAAAAGGAGTAGTGTCCCTTTCTACTGCCCAAAGTCATTTGGCTGTTATCGCCAGACTAGTGGGATAATCTCCTGCGTCTCCCTGCTCTACGATGCCGAGTTCCAGCTGGCTTTCAAGACCTGTTCTCATGACTGCAACCCGTTTAGCTCAACCACTTGGCCATGCTTGGAGATGCTTGACTCAGGTTCAGGGCATTCATCTTCCCATCGATGGATACTCTCTCAAGCCATCTTGACTAGACAGGTGGGAAATCGCCTTTTCAGCCGCTGCCTTACAGCCGCGTTTGATTGACAGAGGGGAAACAGGTACTGGGTACGACACCGGTTTGCCATGACTTCACATGTTCATTTCCACCGTATCAGTCGACATTTGCAGCAGCAATGTGAATATTTGCGCGCTTCTCAGGGATACCGCCAATGCCAAGCCTGCGTTTCCGGTTTAGTTGTGAGTGTTTACCCTGTTCACCACCACCGCTAACCCTCAGCAACGTCCCTTTAAATTGCTCCTGTATCCTTCTCCGATGGATTCCATGTTAGTAACAGCACCTGGTCGCTACGGAATACGGAGAAGTGCGACCCAACACCGCCGAGGTGGCTTCCAGACGCACCCAGCCCCTTCTCAGGAGGAGCCATTAACAATGATTCAACTCCAGTAAGTTCTAGCCTTTTGATATATGTGGAATGTTTTACTGCCGCAAACGTTGCATTGACTCCCCTCTAGCCATGCCAATCACCTTTTCTCTCTTTGGCAATAATATTCATGCTCCGGATCGACAGTTGCCATTGTCGGTTCTCTCCGAGATCGTCGCTTGTGAATCCACCGTAGAGGCCCGCATCCATGGCAGAACCGAGATTCTGTCAGTACATTTTCGTACACCAGCAGCTCCAAGTAGCACGTTCTCCCTCTGTGAAATACTAACCTTGGGCTCCTCTCGCATTCAATTCTGAAAATCAATCGTGATAGAAAAAGCTGGCCCAAGATTTACTTCGTGTGTCTATACGCGGGCGAGAGAATCCAGCATTCACAATAATAACAAGACCATGGGACCCTGGTTACCAACAAAGAAACGAGAAGCTCTGTCTTGTTCGTGCTACTTGACGGTTCCTCTTTACTATTCCGTTTGGGTACTGGACCACCAACTATTACCTGGCTATCGATTGACGGCGGGGATAAAATTTTGTATGGATACACTACTAGGTATAGAGTAGTAGCACTTACTACTACCGTCGGCTTCCTCCAAGCTTGGACTAGGATGCCATGCTAATCTGAGACCTCTTCAGCCTTTTCTCCGTGTCTGTCCTCTTTCTGCGCACAAGCCGTCCATCCACCAAAGATGGACCTGCTTTGCTTTTACAGGTCGGTGTCCCGTACGAAATTCCTAATTTGGAATATTGCTGCTCCGTGCCCTCGCACAGACCGGCAAGACCACGATGAACTTCCGTGATTGGAGCATTCAGTGCTCGACTGGACCTCACATATGCCATCTGCTTGTAAAAGAGGCAACGTTCATTCCCGACATGTGTTTGTGAAGACCTTTGCTACGAGTGTGATGGAATTTAGTAAATAATATGGAGTACGGAGTACAGCTTTTCTCGTTACATTACAAATACGAGCTCACGAGCAATGCTAACAAGCCGTGCGTGCAGTCAGGGCAAATTGCGTGGTGTGATACTGCTTCACATACGCCTGCATCTCACTAACTTGGACAGCACACGGGCGCTCGGTATGGCGCAAGTCGCGAATCTCTCGTCGACGGGCCAGCTGATTCGGCAGACAAAGATGTTGTTTCACCACGAGGATAACCTGAAGCGGCTATCCGATCCAACGGAGGTGGCGAAGCTCGACCCCATCCATGCGCTGCTACACTGAGCCCCACAGGGTTCTGTTGTACGCACCGAGCTAGTGCCTCCCTGTTGCTCGGAGGATATCGTTTGAGCAGCATTGTAAGTGTGTAGTAGTACGAGTACACCGTACAGTAGTAGTCGTATCATTGCTTTTTTACGCTTGTACGGAGTATCGGGCACGACTTGCGTCCTGCTCCGCATAGCGTCGGGATCTGAGGACATTGGTTTTGTGGCGCAGTCAGGTACGATCTGAACCTGGTAGAGGTTATCTTGGCTGAATGCTAATGCCAGGGCCCCGTCAGAACCTTCCCAGACCCGCTGATGTTCTGTTCACTGCCAGCAATGGGTGTACGAAGTGTGTATGTCCATACTCGTATACCTGCATGTGAGTAGCGGTATACTGTCTGGATCGAACCATTGCCCATTACCTACTCTCTCTTCTCTTGGCCAAAGAGAGAGTAGGATAGTAGAGAGAAACAGAACGGTGACCCAGAGAGCGGCACGCCGTTTCGTATTGTAGAGCAGATCCTAGCAAGCGTGTATCTGTGTGCAATAAGGTTGTTCAAAGTTGCTGACCAACTTACCCTGGAAGTCGAGTCCAATTTGTGGCATTCTCAACGCTGCGTTTGGCAAATATGTGATGCTTCTTCTTTTTGTTTAAACTCCCTTTCGCATAGTAGTGGCGTTGTGATTCTTGGTCTTTCTTTTCTTTTTTGTTTGGGGCATCTCACTGCGGTCCAGACACGACATTTTGACATAAACTCCACCTGACGTTTCTGCCATCCTTTCTTTAGCTGACTGACCGACAGCCCCAGTTGTTCCACGCGTTGGTCGTTTCAACGAGGAGGTGAGCTCGTCGCTTGAGACTCAACACACTCTCGCCCATCTTCTAATTACGTAGTACCAATCACATTCGAATAAAGACAGCAAGATGGCCTGCCGATTCAGTATACCAGGCCAAGTCGGTCGAGATTCTACCCAGAGCTCTCAGCAAATTGACGTCAAATCACCAAGTCTCCTCTGTATCTTCTGTCGAAAGCTGCTCATAGTCCTTGACCAAGGTTTCAAGCCGCACGGAAGTTGGATCTTCATCTTTGTTTCCCATTGTGAGAGGATAATGGGATTGGGCGTATTCGACCAATAACGGCTCTTCGGCAGTGAGAGGATCCCAAACCACGTAGTTCTGAAGGATCGCTAGGTCTCGGGGTGCCAGTCGATCCCGTAGCAGCCGGTAGATGACTGAGGTGAGGTGGATGTGTTGGCCTTGATCATAGAGTCCTTTTAGGCTCAAGATGATTGTCGATCTCAACGACTTGATAGTTTCCAGGTCGTGAGGAGGAGTCATTTTGAGACTGTCCATTGCTCCGCCGGCTATAAAGGACAGATGAATGGTCAAGAAGGGATCGCAGTATTCAAAGCTGTGCCGGATATAGTAGAGGCGACCAACAGTCTCGAGGCGAGCGGCTGCATGAGCAGCCGTCTTTTGGGCAGTCTCCTTCATGAGGGTTGAGGCTTCCGAAATACCGGCTTGCTTTGCAGAGAAAAGGATGGTGGCCAAGTAAAGCTCCATGCTATCAAATCATCTTGTCAGTGCTCTACCACGCATCCCTAACAAAATGCGGGAGGGGAGACGGTCACAAGGGAAACGATTGGGGGAAAACTTACTGTACTTTGAGCTGCCATGGGAAGACGATATTGCGAGGAGAGAGAGCAGCGGGCAGGCCCAGATACCACTTCTCTAATCTCGAGAAGATGGACCAGATCCGGCTGGGAGATTCCGTGTTATTTTCCTTCTGGCTGTAGCTGACTGCAGCCATGTCGTTGATGATTGAACGCAAGCCGGAAATTGCTCTAAAATAATGCCCATATTGTGCAGGAACCAACGTTGAGCTCAGCGGGTATCTCAGCTTGAAGTCTCCGTACCAGAACGGATGCTCATCTGGGTTAGGCAGCGGCTTGGCCGGCGGATCAGGAATCAAAGGAGCTCGATAATAGTAGTAAGATTGGATGCTGTCATAAGATGAATCAACAGATTAGCGGGAGGGGACGAGATAAACGCAGCGAGTCGGAATTGGACAAGCCACCAAGAGGAGTACGGCAAAAATCCACTTACCATTGCCAGTTGAAGAGAGCCCAGGCCGTAAAGACGCGAGCATGAACCATTCTCTCGTACGTCTCATTTGCGTGATCTCCAAACAGATCCAATTGCTGAGCGACTTTGAGAGCATGCACCAGGTACGGCTGACCGACCTTGTCCATGCCGTTGTGGCTATAGATGAGATTCAGGAGCGTGGCAGTTTGCACAGAAACCAGGTCCACCCTATGGCTTTCTAGCTCCCATAAGCGCTTTGCCTCTGCCAGAAAGCGATATCTGAGACTATGGGGGACCCAGAACTGGTTGCGGTTGGGTATACCCATGAGGGAGTGCTGGCATCCCGGTTAGCGTACACGTATTTATCTTTGTTCTTTGAACCCAAATCTAGACGACTTGGGCTGGATTATCTATACTAACGCATGCTTCTGCTAGCAGGGCATTGACGAGCACTGGCCTGCAAAATCGCAAGTCATGGTCAATCATGGCCTGGAAAAATATATCCTTGTGGAATACGGGAAACGTTGGATACTCGTGGAGAATGTAAGCTCGTATGAGCGTCCGCATCAAGTGGTCGTCAGTGGCTACCTGTGTCCACTCGGAGGGCTTGAGGTGGTCGATCAGAGGGTCCAAGAGTTCGGCAGCATGATATGGCTGCAGATATATATTCAGATAATCGTTGGTCTGCGCTTGTTCCGATTGTGTGCTCTCGTGGGCGTCCTCTTGTCCAGCTCCGTGGAAGGCAGTTTCATACAGCAGCGACTTCAGATATGGGTTATCCGGAGTTTGAAGATGGGTTGGCATGGAGGCAACATAGGGAAACTGGTAGCGCCTCCGAGTCTCCGGGACGACAGAAAGCTGCAGCAGAAGATCACATTCCCTGATCTGCCTCAAAAGGGTCCCGGGTTCAACGCCCTGGCGTACCAGGCTGAACATGGTCTTTGCATCCTTCTCCGAGCATGTCTGAAGAGCATTGAACAGCTCTTCAAAAGCAGATGATTTTTTGCTTTCCTCTCGATACTTGCGCTTCAGCACGGCCGTGTTTGTCTCCTCACGATAGACCGAGTCATAGTTGCACTCGATCTCGCGCGTCTGGCAACCTGCGCACTTCGGCCGGTTCCCATTGCACTTTCGGCGGGGTTGTCCTCATGAGCTTAAAGTCCAAGCATTTCTCTACAGGCGGGGGTCCCAAACAATACCTTAATTTTGCGCTTTCGGCAAGATTCGCAAGCAACGCTGACAGCCTTCTTCACTGGCCGCCGCCCCGTCTTGGTGTAGTAGAGGGGCGCAGAAGACGCAGGCAATGCAGGCGCGTATAGAGACGTAGATGTAGACGTGTGTGTAGACGTGTATGTGGACGATGTAGCGGACGTAGGCGCAGATGCGGTCTCGTGTTCGATCAAAGATGGCACACCGTCAGATGAATCTGCACGCTCCGAGCCAACCCGGCGATATTTGGTCGGTGGCGAGGACGAGGAGCTACTCGTATCTGGCATTGTCAAGGGTATAAAAGGGTGAGCGCAGGGATGATTCTGAGGTTCCGGGGCAAAGAGTCCGCTGTGGCGAGGGCATGTTCGTGTCGAGAAGAGGGACGGGGGGATGCCATCAACTTAATATGCAGAGTTGGAAGAAGGTGTAAAAAAAAAAAAAGAAAGAAAGAAAGAAAGAAGATGCTATTCCATCCCAGGGTGCTCCAGATTAGGCAAGCGACAGAATTCGGGGTCTTCTTCCGTCTACCCTGATGGCGGACATGATGATCTGGGTGGCTTTTGGGCCACTTTAGACGGAGCCAACTCCGCCCGAGGCCCCTCTTAGATGTTGTGCTGTGCTTATTGGCTCCCTGCAAGGGACCTCTCAAGTGTCTAAGACCATCTCAAAGTTGAATCTTGAGATGTGACTGTCATGTATCAGACGCAGCACCAATGCAGAAAACTGGCGCCAAGGAAGCAGAGAAGGCAAGCGAAAGTAGCTGGAGGGCAGCCTTCTTGATGACACGAGGATATCAATCAGAAGTCACATCCATGATTGCATCCGAGGTGGATGGACGCGCAACACCACGCACAACAAGCAGGTGGCTCAATAGTTACAGTAGAGCCAGACGCCGAGCCTCTGCCTCACCGTGCGAGACATTTCTTGCCTTAAGTCTGGCTGCAGCCTTGGCTTGTTTTAGCACGCACCATTCGCGCCGTCTTGTAACATTATGAGCTTGCGGACGATGGTGCTTTTCTTTTCTTGTCACACTAGTTGGACGGTCACCGAAAGGCGGTTTGCCTTCCGTGTCTGGGGGCGAATTTCAATAAATCAATCAATAAAGCGGCAGAGAAAATTGATCATCCTCTCGCTTTGGGTGGCTATTTTGCAGCATATGCCTCCTTGGTCCGCTTGGTCTAGAACTTGCCCACATATGCGTTAAAGTTGTACGTCGTGCACGAGCTGACAATGTCCTTTGCGCTTTGGCCACCCAGAATCTGCCTGCCGCCGCGGGAGACGGAGAAGGATTGCTTGCCAACGCCCATGGTGAAGTTGAAAACGTGAACTCCGGCGTCAGCATTTACAGTAACGGGAGCCACGTTTCCACTCGTGACGGTCAATTGTGCAGGCTGCGTGAGCAGCGTGCTGACGAAGACCAGATCGTCCATCAACTCAGCACCTCGAGGGATGCCCAATGGATCGTTGGTGCATCGGGCAGCATGCGGAACCGGGCGATACCAGTAAACAATTTCATCCGTATTTACCGTAGGAGAAGACGCGCCAGCCTTGTAGGCAGCAATATACGGCCTGTATATATCACGCCAGCCATCGTGGGGGAAGCCATTGGCCCATTGGGAGGACCCGTCATCGCTGTGGTTGGGCTCTGAGCCGCTGTAAGAAACGTAATCCGGTTAGCAAATCCTTCTCATGAATCGAAGAGGGAGGCAATGAAAGGCAAGGAAACTGGTTTGCTTACGAAATGTAATGGCTTTCGCCAAAGTCTGTGATGGCAGATATTCACTGGTTAGCCTACCCAGAAATGCACCCCTTTCCGTTTTGCTGAGGGGACAAATATACTAACCATTCCACGTAATGATTTCAACCAGAGCTGGCTTCATATCAAGAATCTGTTGCCATCGACGGACCGGTTGCTCTTCACAGATAAAGACCCAGTTCTTAGTATTGAAATGGGTTGAAAACCATGGCGAGACCGCTACCTCAGTGATATTAGACCCAAACCTCTTGCTTAATATATTCTTTAGAAACAACTTACGTGCCATGTAGGGCCGACCACCCAGACCTTGTATGTATCTCTGATCCCACACGGTTGTCATGGGCCCTTCGATGACGCTGTTGCCGCCGTCCGTTGGCCAAGCATACCACGAGAACGCCCCGTCGATGCCAAACTGGGCGCTGACGCTTCCAGCTGAGGCAGGGTCCTGCATATTGGGAATGACTGTCAGTTTCTGGCTGCCCAGGGCACTTTTCACAGGATTCCAGTTGAAACTATCGCCAACAAAGGTGCTGACAAGTGCGCCTCCGTTGAATACGGCTTGGGCTGGATGAGCAGCGTATTTGCCCACAAAACTTGTGATGTTGCCCGTGTCGCCGTTTGACCAGTACGCGAAGTCAAAGGAAATGAACATTTTGAAGTTGAGCTGTTGTGCGGCCGTATAAGCATTGTCAAGCTGCTTTGGGGTATAGCTATCCACCCAAGGAGGAGCACAATTAAGAGCAAATCCATCAATACCGATGGCTTGAGCTTGCTGGATCTCATTCAACCAATCCTGGACTGTGAACTTCTCAACAATTCCCACCTAAACAGTCCATTATTAGTGAGCTCTTCTCGTTCAGACATCTCCAGTGATAGAGTGTACCATACCATAAAATGAGCGAATACCGGCCTTGAGCCTTGTGCGGCGACGAAGCCCAGAGCGTTGGACAAGACCACCGAAATGGTGGCCAGCATGTCAGTCGACCTCATTGTCGTTATTGGTAGAGAGAAGCTGTGTTTCGGTGGAATTTTCGACTTGGAAGCAGAATATTATGCCTTTTCCCGTTCTACCAATTGAAAAGCTGCGCCTATATATACTTGCAGCAGTCAGCCATCCTGCAATCCGACAGCATCGTTCAGCAGCCGTGAAGGCCGAATTTGGCGACGGATATATGCTCTTTTCCGCTGCAAGTCGGAAAATACCACATACCTTAATAGGATAAACTCGTGATGGAAACTCGCTCTAGCTCTGCGGGGTGCATATCAGCATGGAATCTAATTGATCGCATGATGATGCAGAGAACCCGGCCAATTCTCGGACTGAGAACAGTTGCTGCATTAGTATAGTGTATATGCATCGTCTTAAGGTTGTATCGGCTCGACGCTGTTGAATAAGCTTGATCGGAAAACAGGGGCTTGGCCTTAAACCGAAGGTGCGCTCTTTTGGTTCGGCTGGAGGTGGCATCATAGTCATCCAATGTTCTCCAATGTGTATAGGTGAACTCTCTAGAGAAGTTGACACCCATCTATCTGCTGAAGTGATATCGCTTCTTGTCCATCGGCCCGATGGCATAGGGGCCACCATCAGCTGAACAATATTTTCAGTGCCGAAGTAGCATTAGGATTTAGATTGACGACATTCAAAACACAAAAGCCGATGTTCTATCGTGGGATAGAAAGGCTGAAATGTGAAGTTGAAAGTTTGGTGAAGTGAGACCGGTTAGAGGAATACCCTCGGGTTGCTAATCTACTATTTGCGGGGGTTACAACCCGTCAGCAATCTTGACCAAAAAGGATGGTCGTTTGCTGCCGCATAGCCATTCATGTGTCTAATCGAAACAATGGCGGAGTAGTGGTTGGCTTCGAGGTTTCTACGCCTGTATCCAAGGATCAGTATCAGTTGTTCAGAGGCCCAGTACTCTCCATTGTGAAGCAAATGAACGTTAAACACTCACTATCTGTGATTATTCTAGGTTTTTACTAGGAGCGGCCTGTTTGACCCCGCGAGGGAAGGCTGGGCAAAAAGAGACAGGAGGGTGAATCGAAGTGAATAATGTGCTGGCCTCTGCTATCCGAGACTCAGCTTTTACGCACAGATAGCGGGGAAGATTGCTTGCCATTTGAGAACTAAACTGACAGCCGTTTTTCATTCTCATTAGCCTCTAATGAGCGAGAATGAAAGCCCCGAAGCGTGATGAGACGTGATGTGGACTGCATAGCCGAGAAAGCAAACAGCCAATAGATGGCCCAGATGATCAGACTCTGCATGCATGAAATTGACTTCGGACGTGCAGTTCACTATTGGTACATTAGTGTGAAAGTGATATTTGAAAGGGAAGAGCGTTCACTTACAGGCTATCTGAACCATCGCCCAAATCGATGAGTTCCTTACATCTGAACATCTTTGCGCGCGTTCAGCAACATACTTTGACCTCGGTTGCGTTTCTTGTCAGATAAAGAGCACGAATGTTCGCATTTCACGTCAATCACTTCGCCTTGAACCCTACAAAACCCCCATATATATGGTATTATTTCTTCTTGTACACTCAGCCTTTTACGATCGTTTGCGCTTCGGTCGTTCAATTTTCGCACAGATGACGTGGACTTTCTGAAGGGCTGGTCGAAAGAGCATATAGTTCTTTGCAACTTCTTTTGCACCAATTCGAACCCAATATATAGAATATTATTTTTCTTGTACACTCGGCCGCATGCGATCGTTTGCTTTGTCGACCGTCTTATACGATCGTTTGCTCTTTCATCGTTCAATCTTCACGCAGATGACGTGGACGTTCTGAAGGGCTTGTCGAAAAAGCATATATTTCTTTGCAACTTCCTTTGCACAAATTTCGAACCCCACAAACCCCATTGTATGTATATATAGGTATTGTATTATTTCACTCGGCCGTATACGATCGATCTTCAGAACGTCCGTCTCGCTCGCGTACGTATGTCTTCGGTGTTTCGAATTGGCTTTCGAGTGCGAAGATGTCTTGTTCGCTTTTTTTCTCACGTCTGAATCGTTGCGCTCGGTCGTTCTTCCAGTTCAATCTTGAACATCGTGCGAGGTAGCGTGTTGTTAGGATGGGCTTGCTTTTTGAAGGTCTTGGTCTGGGAAGAAGAAGTGTGGTGTGTCGTGACTCGCTTCAGTCCGCTTCTTCACGTCCCCAATATATCCAACCCAACACATCACATTATGTATCATATATTTTTCATTATACTCTCGGCCGGCCGATCGATCGATTCGGGTCACCACACTTCTTTCAGGTTGTGAGAACCTAGCAGAAGAAATTGCGTTAGAGATTGAATCTGACATATCATGGGACAAGAAGAATGGGGAAAAAAAAAGAAAGGAGATGATGAGGCGGGTAAGCAGGGAAAAGAGAACACTAAAGTGCGTAGAGCAGAAAATGGGGAGGAGAAAGACGTGCGATGAATAGAAAAGAACACTCAGGTGCATAAAGGAGGAACTGAGAAAGAAAGAGATGCGTGTTCATATTCAAGCAACAATTTTATTCCAGCCAACAAGACATTGACTTGCAGGATCTGAAAGAAGATAAGCCAGCGCCAGTAAGGACATGATTGGAAATCTGTTGCCACGCTTGGTGATGTATAGAAGGTGCTGGAGCAGAATGGAAGTAGAGGGGTGTCTTGAGATGAGGCATCTGGGCGTTCTCAAAGCCTGTCAGGAGAGAAATAATAGCAATGGAATTATCAAAGACTTGCAAACCCAAAGAAGGATCAATCACCGCCAGGAGTGAAAAGAAAGAGAAGTTAGAGTATGGGAGACAAGAGAAGGGTCAAGAGAGAGCTCCAGGATATTGGCAACAGGAGGGGGAAAAGAGTAGAAGAGGCACAGAAAGGAGGAGAAAATTTGGGTATAACA